CAATATTTGCTGCAGCTATAAATAATAATTTAATTAAAAAGAAGCTAAATAAATTAAAAAAATAATTAATTAATTAATTAAAATATTAATTTAAATTAAATCCACTTCACTAGTCAAAATAGTTCAAATTGATTAAAAATCAGATAATTGATTTTAAGCTGATTTTAGTATTATTTATAGTTGATTTGCCATTTTTCTGATCAGCACAAACAGGTGCTGATATATGTTAATTGATCCTAATCAGATATAGCCATTCAGTATTAATTCAGAACTTAAATTCATTTATAAAATTGACCTTAATTCAGCATCATTCAACATTAATTTAGAACTTAAATAACCATAAATTAGCCTAAAATTGACCTCAATTTGGCATTAATTCAGCATCAATTCAAATTATAAATTAAACTAAAATTGATCTCAATTTAGCATTATTTAGCATTAATTTAGAATTTAAATTATCCTAAAATTAGTTTTATTTTGATATCAATTCAGTCAAATAAGTATATAAAATTGATATATTTTATTTATTAAATATTAAAATTTTATTAATAATAAAAACCTAATATAATTTGCAAAAAATAACATAAATATTATTAAAATCTACTGATTAATTTTCTATTTAAAAAATATAAGTAAAAAACAGAAAAACTATGTAAAATAATAAAAATATAATCTATTTTCTTCTAAAATCCCTTTAAATTATCTTAAATATCATAATATAGGATCTTTACAATAAAAAAGAAAGAAACAGATAAAAAAAATCAATTTTACTTTATATGCCAAATATGATTTTTAGGTCAAAATATGTTCAGATTTAGCATTAATTTAATTTTATTTTTTTCAAGCTGTTTTCTCTTTTCTATTACAAAGATTTCATATTATCATTTTTGAAAAAAAGAATAAATTAATAAAATATGATTTATTTTTCTTTCAAAAATCCTTCAAAAATAATAAATAAAATAATAAAAAATAAAAAATTTACCCTTACTTATCAAATCATTTGAAATTATCTTTTTTAATTATAGAAGTAAAAAAATCAGCTTATTATTTAAAAAGTTAACTAGTTGATTAATAAAATTCAACTAAAATTTTATTTGATTTTGATAATTAGAAGCATATTTATATTATAAAAAGTAAAAAAATCTGTTTATTTTTTGAAAAGTTGATTAAAATACAGCTTTTTCTTCATCTAATTTTAATAGTTAAAGGCGAAAAATTAACTAAAATTCAACTTGAGATCTTTTTGTTCTTAAGACAATTATTTTTTTAACATTTTGATAGAATGTAAAAAGAGAAAATTTGGAAATTATTTTTAAAAAATTAAAAAATTAAGCTTATTTATATATATATTTCTATATATATTAGAAATAAACTTAAATAATATATATATTTGATATTATTTTAGTAAATCAGTTTAATCTGAAAGTTCAGTTCGTTAGAATGATAATATATTGATCTAAATGAAAGATAAATGCATTATTCTTTAGGAATGATAAAACTATTATTCCTTAGGTATGATAATATTATTATTTCTTAAGAATGATAAATCATTATTCTTAAGAAATGATAAAATCATTGTTCTTAAAAACGATAAAATTATTATTTTTAATAAATAATAAAATCATCATTTTTTAGGAATAATAATACTATTATATCTTAAGAATAATAAAATTATCATTTCTTAGGAATAATAAAATAGTTATACCTAAAGTACAATAAATGCATTATTTCTTAAGAATAATAAAACTATTGTATCTTAGAAATAATAAAACTATCATTTCTAAGGATAAAACTATTATTCCTAAGAAACAATAAATGCATTATTTCTTAGGAATGATAAAATCATCATACCTAAAGTATAATAAATTTATCATTTTTTAGAAATGATAATACCATCATTTCTTAAGTATAATAAAATCATTATACCTAAGAAATGATAAATGCATCATTTCTTAAGAACAATAAAATTATTATACCTAAAATATAATAAAACTATCATTCTTTAGGAATAATAATACTATCATTTTTTAGGTATGATAAAACTATCATATCTAAAGAATAATAAATATATCATTCTTTAGGAATGATAAAACCATTATTCTTAAGATACAATAAATGCATCATTTCTTAGAAATGATAAAACTATCATATTTAAGGTATGATAAATATATTATTCTTAGGTACGATAAAATTATCATACTTAAGAAATGATAAATACATTATACCTAAAATACAATAATACCATCATATCTAAGGAATGATAAAATAATAGTTCCTTAAAAATGATAAATCTATCATCCCTAAGGATGCATTATTCTTTAGGAATAATAAAACTATTGTACTTTAGAAATGATAATACCATTATCGCTTAAATTGAATATTCACCAAAGATCAAAGAAACTATAATGAGTAAGATGAAATGATTGTATTAATTTATGCAAACATGAGAAAGTATATTATAATTAAATTTTCAAATAAAGTATACTTACTATATGAAGTTAATGAATTGTGACATAATTTAAAAGTATCATTTGAAAAAGAAAATTTTCCATTTAAACATTTAATTGTAAGAGTCAAAGGTTTGATATAGAGTTAATTAGTATTAGTATATAGATTTAGGTTACTATTTATCAAACTGCATCACACTCTATTATGTTTCAATTTTACTAATTAATCTGGGAACTTAGAAAATTTTTTTATACTAAAATATTATTTGTCACACCTTACATTTCATAATGTGTTTAGATACTCTGTGAATTTGCCTTAATAATAATATAATAATTTCTTAAATATTCATTTATATATTTTAATAAAAAAGCTTATATATTGTTTTTCTTTCATTTAATACAGATAATTAATGGCGAATAAAATATAGTTAGCAGTAAATAAATAATTTTAAATTTTGAAAATTTTAAATAGGTATCATGTGAATATTTTGTTGTTATTTTATCTTTGATTGCTAGAAAAATGAGGCTCTGAGACTAAAATTAAGACCTTATTATATTTTAGTCTAATAACATCAAAAACTAAAATGCAATAAAAAAACAAAATTTGTTAAAAATTCCTAGAGTTTTATGTTATTAAACGGAGATGCTTCTTAGTAGTCTTATTTTGTTTATTGATTGTTTTCTGTTTCGTAACTTTAGTATTATTTTCTATTTTAGTATCAAATCTATTAATAAAAATACAAAAATATACCAAACTTCAATAAATACAGTAAAAGAACTTGCAAAATTCTAAAACGTCTCTGAATCCCCTGAATTTAAGTTATATTTTGCAGATAAAATAGTTATTTACTATTTTAATATCAAATCTATTAATAACCAGAAGAATTTATAATACAGGATTTTTTTTTCTAATTTGAGAAAAATACATCTAATTAAGGAAAAAAATTCTGTATTAACGATACAATAAATAAAGTACTATAAACAGTCGACTAAAGTACTCTAGATATGATACAAATTCTTAAATTTCAGGATATAATATTATAGGGGTACTTTGATTAAGGGAGGGAGTACAAGTATATTTATTGAAACTAATAAAAATATGACAAATTTTTGTGCATCAAAAATTTGTCAAAAATTTTTTGACGCTATTTCGATTTAAAAATTTAAATTTTTTTTCTTTTTAAACCTTGTTTCTTTCTTTAATTAACAAAATCTAAATCGTTTAAAACAGCCAAACCTGATAGTTTCTCTTAACTAATCTAAAAAAATAAACCGATAAGTAATTCAAAAAAAAAAAAAAGCAATTCAATATTACTGATGAACTCTAGTAGAATTGGATGCTGCTTTTTAAGAGGATGTGATCAGAAATTTCTGGTCATGAGTTTTAAGATTAAAATCAAGATTAGATCAGAATGTAACGCGTAATAAATTAATTTTACAGTTTTTTTTCTAACACGTTTTTTCAAAAACTTTGACACAAACTCTTTTTCTTAAAAGTAAAATGGTAGTACATCGTAGTAAAAGTTTTTACAAAAAATTCCATATTATTCTAAAGAAAAAAAGGCAGTGATGTGCAAGAGAGAAGTTACTTATTATTTATTATGCTGAATAATGTGAAAGTAATAGGTTAGTGGCTAAAAAATTTGATGTTAAACCTAAACAAATACAATATTGAAAAAACCAAAAAAATCAATTAGAAAATGCAGCTCCTTATATTCAAAAACTGCATAGAGGAAGGGAAGCATATCTTCTAGAACTTGAAAGAAGTTTGTCTTTATGAGTAACAGATATGCATTAAGCAGCAAAAACTATTACGAAAAATATAGTTGTTCGAAAGGTTAAATCTATGGCTAAAGATTATCTTAATCTTTATCCAAATATTAATAATTTTAAATTTTCAAATGTATGGTTAGAAGGTTTTATGAAAAGATTTAATTTTATAACACGTCGATAAACTCATATTACACAACATCTTCCAGATTATCTTTTACAAAAACAACAAAGTTTTTTTAGTTTTATTTTATATTGAAGAATTCAATATGATTATTTTTTAAAATATATTGGTAATATGGATGAGACTCCAGTTACTTTTGATTTACCTTCAAATACAACATTAGATTAACGCAGTACTTTGATAGTGATTATTTATACAACTGGTTATGAAAAAACTTATTTTACTGTTGTTTTATCATATTTGGTTGATGGTACTAACTTCCAGCTACTTGTATTTTTAAATTGAAAAATATTTCAAAAGAGCAATTTCCTTAAGGTATTAATATTCGTGTAAATGAAAAAGGATGGATGAATAAAAATAAAATGTTATAGTGGATTGAAAATATATAGAATCAACGTAATCCATTAGGTAACCCTCAATCTTTTCTAGTTTTAGATGCTTTTAAAAGGCATTTGGTTAATTCTATTAAAAATAGATTTGTTGAAAAATAAATAAATATAGCAGTAATTCCAAGCGGTTTAACTAGTAAGCTTCAACTATTGGATGTCTCTATTAATAAAAGTTTTAAATCTAAATTAATACAATACTATTAAGATTGGATGGCTTCAGAAATGCATCAATTAACACCAGCAGGACGTATTAAAAAACCATCCTATTCTATAATTGCTAAATAGGTTATAGACTCATAGAATGATATTAATACTGTTTTAATTTGCAAATCATTCAAATGTTATGGAATATCAGTAGCTAAAGATGGAAGTGAGAATCATTTATTATTTAATTATGACTCTTTAACTAAAAAAAATAAAAAAAAAATAATGGAGGAAATGATATTTATTATGAAGATGAAATAGAAATTAGTGAGTCAGATAATGAACTTAAAAATGATTTGCCATTAGAAGATTTAGAGTTTAATAGATATGATGAAGAACTACCAAATTATGAAAATATTTGGAATTAGTTTTTTTTTTTGAATTTTTTTTTGTATTAATTTTTACATATATCAAATAAATCAAATTTTATATCTAAATAAATTTTTTAATTGAAGTATTGTATCTCTGGGTATGATACATTTTTTTAAAAATAAAATTTAAAACTTTGGTGTTTTGTATCTGAGGTATAATACATTTTTTGTCACTAAAAATGCCAGAAGGGTACAATACTCAGGGGTACTTTAGTTGACTATTTACAGTATTTGCAGTGTTAAAACTATTATTGCTTTTCATGAAGTTATGTAATTTTTTAAACTTGATGGTTTAAAATTTTCTTAATATATTTCTTTGTTAATATAAAATGTATTAAAGAAATGTTTAAAAAGACTACCATCATATTGAGAAAAGCAATTATTCTTGCTTGGAAAAAGAATGTGAGAATGTGAGAAAAAAAATTATTCTAGTAAGAAGAGGTATTATATTTATCAAAGCTGACACAATCATACTAACTGCCATTGGATAAACTATTAGAGATGTTAACAGTTAAAGATAAACTGTTTTAAACTGATTGTATAATCAAACTAATTCAGTCATGATAAATATCAGTTTTTATCACATGATTTAATATAGTTAGACTATTAGTTCAACTGACGGTTTAACTGAATTTTCAGCTGCAGTTTCAACTATAGTTGATAACTTATTTAGAAGAATCTAAATAATAAAGTTTTTATTATTATTTATTTAAAAAGAATTTAAAAAAGCATTAATAACAAAATTTTTATTTTTGCATGTTAATTGGTTCTATTATTTATTACAATAATGATACATAAATAAAATAAAAAAATAAAACTACAAATAGAATAAATTTATAATTGTTAAAGTATACTTGCTCTTAGCTAAATATAGTTAGCCTATAACTGTTAATCCTAAATACCGCATAGAGGTGACAAGCTTCGTTTAAAAAAAAAAAATTTTTTTTTAACAAAATCAGAAAAAAAAACTATAAAAAAAAACTGAATGTGAAATTAAAGAAAGAAATGGAAAAAGAAAAAGGAATGACAATAGTTGGAGAAAGTGACAGTTAAAAGTTTATTTTAAAAAAAAGAATATCAATAGTTGAAGTAATAATTAGGTTTAAAAAAAAAAGAATTATGTAGAGAAGTTTACGGTTTGTGATAGTGTTTTGGTATTAGATAGTAAAGGTGGTGATGCAGATCTTTATAGAGAAGGAGGATTGAAAGAATGAGAATTATTTAAATTTTCTAGTAAAGTAAATATAAAATTTAGTTTAAAATAAGTTTAAATATTTGAAATTTAAATAACAAACTTATGACGCTCTAATTCAGATTGCCTTCTTTCTTCTATTTGAGAAACTAAAAAATAAAAAGTTGAATTTAACTATAAATATCAAATAAAATACATTTTTAAATACTTATCAGGTTTTTTTCAAAATGGAGTTTTAAATTGCTCTCCATATTTTTCACTAACTTTATTTCATCTTCCTTTCAGATTTTCTTTTGCATAAAGTTCAAATAACTAGAAATATTGATTGTTTATAATTTTTATTTTATACAATTAGATCGCTTGCTTTCTTAATCAGGATTTTACTTTACAATCCTTAATTATCCCTTTAAACTTTGCTTGATATTGCACTACCATAATATCTGTATTAAATTCTTCTTTGATCTTCTCTGCAACTTCTTTTCAAAAAGGTAAATTTAATCTTTCAAGCATGAACCAATATTCTTCATTTCTGTTTCTTCTTTTATCTATCAACAATTTAACTTCATTATCATCCTAATCGATTATGTTTAGCATTTTTGATAAATTGAAAATTTAAAAATTGTTAAATTTAATTTTTTAACAATTAAAGAAAAAAGAAAAAAAATACTTATAAATTTATATAAAATTATATTGACATATATCAGAAATTTGAAACATTTTCAAATAAGTAATTCTATTTTGCATGTAATGAGTAATTCTATTTAGTCAAAATTATCTAATTATTGTAAAGTCAATCGTAATTCTATTTTTATACGTTACATGTATTCTAATTTATAAAATTATCTAATAATTACAATTTTGATAAAATTGCTAAATTTTTACATGATTTCAAATTTTTATTTTCAGAAGGAAATACAAATTTCAATGATAATATTCTGATAATCACCACTGATTTACCTTTGATTTATCCTTAGGTTTACCACTAATTAAAATTTCTGAATAATTAACGTAATTTTTTAATTAAAATTTCGCAAAAACAATCCATTTTTATTATTTTAATTTATATTTAATGAGAACTTTATTTTAAAAAAAATTAGTTAAATTGGCATCAGAATCAATGCCATTAAATTATCATTTTTAGTAAATAATACTAAATTATTATATTTAAATGTGAATGTTAAATTTTCAATCCTACAATGTTAAATTCTCAATCAATATTTTTTCACTCAACATATCAGACAATGAAAATATCAGTATAAACTTTAAAGAAATAGAAGACTTTGATTTTGATTTTGATTTTGATGATAATATAAATGAATCATCTATTTCTGAATAACAAAAGGAAAATAGCATGAATATACTTAATATTGATAAGAATAAAGGAAAAACTACTTCAGCTGTTTAAGAATATATGTATAAAAAATATGATAATATAAATAAAGTTGTAGCAATAATTTGTAATTTGTGTAAAAAAGAGTATAGTTCTAAAACATCAATATGATCTCTAATGGATCATATATCCAAAGAACATAAATATAATATTTCAATAAAGCAACAAACGTAACTTCATTTTATTAAAAATTCATATGGTAAATTTGATATAATAAGAGTTAAACATTGCACAAATGTCACTATTGATGATTTTGTTGGATCTCAAATGCCATTTTCTATTGTAGAAAGTTCTTAGTTTAAAAAGTTATATAATATTCTAGATCAAAGATATGTTTTACTATCATGTCAATATTTGCAAAAACAAATAATTAATAGATTCACAGATCATCATTCTTTAGTTGCTGATGAACTTAAAAATCTCTTAATAAAAGTGTTTCTTACTACTGATGTTTGGACTTTAATTATAAATCAAGCTTACCTAGAAGTACAGTAGTAGTAGAAAATAACTAGAATTATTAAATTATAAATTTCTCAGCCAATATTTATTTTATTTACATAAAATTTTGACAATATATAGTATGATACTATAAGAAAATAAAAATAAATTTTTAATGTTTAATGATTTGACCCTTCTTTTTAATAACGTTTTTTAACCATTTTTTCATACCTGCACACAAATTCGATAAAAGGTCTAAACTAAGATTTTCCCATTCAGACTAAATTATAGACAAAAAATCATCTAACCCAACTGATTTTTTTAATACTATATGTTGATTTACCCTCTTTTTTACCTTTTTTTCATTATTGCCTATAAATTCTTTATGGGATTGAGGTCTGGAAAATAAGATGGCCAATCAAGCACTTGTGGACATTTTTCTTAAAGAAGAATTGTTGTTAATTTTGCCTTATGCTTAGGATCATTATCCTGTTGGAATATCCACTTTCTTTCAAGGATCCTAGTAGCACTAGTAAAAAGATTTTTAGTTAAAATATCTTGGTAAAGTTCTCTATTCATATTTTCAGTAAAACAATAAAATCCCACGAGTCCATTTACACAAAAAGCACCCCATGCGTGAACTTTGAGTAGATGTTTTACAACTGCATGCTGTAGATTTTCTTCTCTAATCTTATATCTTACCAGTGTTATATTACGAAATAACTGAAATGTGGTTTCGTCAGAAAAAATGACTTTTTTTCAGTTTTCATTCAGATGAGACTTTGCCCATTCAACACTGCGTTCTTTGGTAATGCCAGTCAACATTGGTATTAAAGTTGGTACACAAACATGATAACCTAGTTTAAAAAGATTCTCTCAGACAGTTCTAGAAGTAATGTTGAAGTTTAGGTATGTTTGGTTAAGTGTAAAAGTAATTTCTTTACTAGTTGCATATTTTCTTATATTGGCTAATTTTCCAAGATGAATGCATTTTTTTGAAGACAAAAGTTTTGGTCTTCCTGAATGTGATTTTAATTTAATAGTACTGGATTTTTTAAGTTTTGGAACATAAGTATATAGGATGGATTTCAGAATATGAGTTATTTCATGTAATTTATTAACATTATGAATTCTATTTGTTCACAAACTGCTTACAAGTGATCATTTTTCGTTTAAAGTTAGTTTTTTCAACATGATGAAAAAAAAAGATGGATAAAAAAATTTTTTTGCTGATCTTATGACTTTTTTTTATTTATATTGTAGATCACGTATTAGTTTAATAATTATATAAAAAAAACAAAAACTTAATTACTAAAAAGGAAGTGATGAGTAATGTTGATCAAATCACGTGATATTCCAGTTATTTTCTACCACTACTGTAACTATTTATTATATTGATGATGAATGGAATATGTGATATTTTCTTTTTGATTTAATTCATTTTAAGCATTATCATACTGGTGTTAGAACAAAGGAAAAGCTTCTTTAATTAATAAACAAAATAAATCTTAATGGAAAATTCTTTCTCTTACTACAGATAATGATACAACAATGGTTCTTTATAGTAAAAATATAACAATTAAATTTGAAGAAACTTGGAATGATAAAGAGTTTCAACATTTCTGATGCGTAGCACATGTTTTAAATATCGCAATTAATCATAGAATACAATTAAGAACAGAAATTATTGATAAGGTTAGAACATTTGTAAATAAAATCTGTTATTCTATTATTCTTTGTGATGCACTTCACAGTTATTATAAGATAATAAAAAAGGATTATCTTAAACCTGATCTTAATATTACTACATGATAGAATAACACATTTTTAATATTAAAAAAGTTTAAATGAATGCATGAAGAACTTGATTTTCTTATTTGTAGTAACAAACAGTTGGAGACATTTTATCTTAATAAAAATGAATAGAATCAAGTACAATCAATGATCATCCTATTAGAACTAATGTATAAGGTAACAAAAATTCTTTCTTTAAGTTCGTATCCAACTATTAGTAATATTAGATTAACTTTTACAGAAATTCTTTAATATATTGAGATATATATTAATGATCACACATTAGAAGAATCCATTATGATAGATTCTATATGCAAAAAAATTGATAATTATTAGACGATACTTGATTCTTCTACAACTATTCCAACTATTTTTAATCCAAGTTCAAAATTACTTACTTTTCCATTTGAAGAATAATGTGATAAAGCAATAAATCAATTTCGTTCAAGAATGCTTATGTATATATCATCATAAGATTTAGATAATTCAAATTATATTGTAGAAAAAAATACAAATGCTAGATCATTTTTTGAAAATTTAATTATGCAACAACAAAATTAAATACAACCATTAGAAGGAGAATTAGAAAGATATTTAGTTTTACTATTAACATAGTCTAAACCATTATCTTGGTAGCATCAATATGCAAATAAATTTCTGATTTTATCAAAAATGACACATAATTATCTATTCAAGATATTAGTGTACTAAGTGAACAAGCATTTTCAATTGCATCACATACTATAATAAAAGTTCAAAATTGTCTTAATCCTAATACAGCTTGTACTTCTTTGTGTTTGAAAAGCTAGATAGAACAAAATGTTGGTTTAGTTAATAATAAAATTGTTTGAACTTATTATTTCCAATTTATAGTATTTTTAATAATGCTATTTTATCAATAAATATAATAAACGAATTTATCAAACAGATTACATTTTTTTAAATAATTATCAAATTTATTTTAAATTTAAGTATATGTAAATATAATAATAATATTTATTTGCTATTTTATTTTTCAAAACAGAGGATTTTTTTAAAATACAAACCACAATTATATTAATTAACCAACAAAAATTTAAACATATGATTAACTGAAATTAGAACTGTAGTTATAACTGCAGTTTTAACTTTAAATAACAAACCAGAGGTCAGCTCAACTTAAAGATTAAACTGGCAGTTTTTGAACTGAACTGAACTGAATCAAACTGATAACATCCCTATGAATAGATCACAAAATTGCATCTAATTTAATTTATCAATTATGATATAGACAGACAGATAATTTAACAGCTGTGTTACATTTTAGCATAATTTGTTACATATTTCAGACGTACCATTGATATATCACTTCACATAATTAGTAATTTTATTCAATTCAAAATAATCTTTACAAGGATCTAATTAAACATCAGTGATATAAATTCAGAATATCTCTTATATGCGCAAGTGTATATTATATGTAAAAAACTTGTGCACAAATTTTAAAGTTACATGCATTTTTCTGCTTAAATAAAAATTTAAAATATGCGCAAAAAAATAATATATGTGCTTTTTATATAAAGTAAAATAATAAATAAGTACTATTTGAAAAAAATTTTAAAATTTGAAAAAATTTAAAATTTTTTTATTATTATATATAAAAAATATATTTACAATATTACAATTTACAATTATAGTAAAAAAAATTAAAACAACTAATATTAACAAACTTTCTATCCTTTTTACTTTTAAAATGATCCAATAATCATATGCTTTTTTCAAAATTGAAATTTTTTATATCTGATCTATTAATCAAAATTATTAAATGCTAATTTAAACTCTTCACATTAAGCTTATTTTGAAGCTTTGTTTTAATTAAATTCTGATGGAAAAAAATTCTTTTCACATTTGCATTTGATAGCGATACAATAAGTGTAACTATTACAAGTAATGAAATAGTAAGATAATTGTTAATAAAATTACTATTAATATTGAAAATATATTGCTATACTTCCACAAAATTATAATCTCTTTCAAAAAAAGATAATAAGTAATCTTTTACTGATTGTCATTTCTCTAAGAGTTTTTCTTTATCAACAATTTCTGGAAAAACAGTATTATTAATTACTCTATCATTTCTATAATAATCATCCTAAAAAACTAATCTCTTTAAATCCATATTTTAATATTTGATTTTCTATTTTTTAAAATAATTTAATATCAAATATATCCAATATATCATATAATTCAGATTGTGAGAATTTTTCTTGTAATGCTTTAATCATTACTTCTGAATAATCTTTGATAAAACATGAAAGATTATCTAGAATTTCTTAATGATCTAAATAATTACGCAAAATGATTTCATATGTAAGTTGTGCATTAACATTTCTAATAAATTCTCAAAAATAGAATTTATCGCTGCTATTAAATGAGGTTTAAGATGAGAAAAAGCTATATAATCAGATTGAAAAACTTTAATCAATTTTTTAAGTATTGTTGTCAGATCAATTAAAAACATAGTTGCTATTATAAAATCTTTATCTAATAATTGAATTAAACTTTTGGCAACTTTGTCTTCTGCTAGTGAATCTTCATTTAATGAAGCTAAAACTAAATCTATAATCTTATAAAGATCTCTTATAGCATTTAATAATGAGAGCCATCATATTTCAATAATATTTAGTAATTCTAAAGTTAGCTTATCATTAATATCCTATTTAGTAAAAAAAAACAATAATAAATTATTTTTAAAAAAAATTAATTTTAAAATTTTTATAGAATAAATTTATCAGTGTTGGTATTGGACTCATTCCAATTGACTGAATTAGACGATTTAGACAATTAGACAATTAAACATAGATCAATAGCATACAATTGTCCAAATCGTCCAAATAGATTTTTGTTAGATTTGGACTATATCCAATCGTCCAATTGGATAATTGGATATGCAATTGGACTTAATCCAATTAATTGTCCAATAAAATTCAATGTAGTACATGATAATCAAATAAAAAATCTTTCGCAAATTTTTAAATTTTTACAACTTCGCAATGCAATAGTTTTATTTTGCTTTAGAATTTGTGCATTTTAAAATTTGGGTATTTTCATAATAGTCATATTGGCAATAAGGTACTTCGGTACCTCTTTTTTTCATTTTTTTTAATAATAAATATAGAAATGACACGGGAAAAACATAAACTTAGTGGTTATTTTTTGATATTGGAAGAAAAATCCAATAAATGGAACAACTATGCTATTTGTCAGGATTGTATTCGGGTTTTAGGTTCAGAAGAAGCTTCAAAACATAAATTTACTAATACTAAGCGTGCATATGCAAATCACCTTAAAACTTGTCCTTATTGGGCCGAAAGACCTACCTCAGAACAAACTAGTGCTATAATTCAAAATGCAATGGATTATAGATCAAAAAAATAAAACAAACGTCATCGATTAGTAATTGAGAAGGAAGGGGATGAAGGGGACGAAAGAGGTGGAAGGGATGCATTTCAATTAACTTTTCATACTCCACTACCACAATTACCTCTGTCACGAAATTTAAACAACTTTTTTTATACAACACCATCTATTACATCACATAGAAGCAGTGTAAGTGATATATCTAATATATCATCTCAAAGTTTTAGTCCGCTTGATAATTATGTATATCGTGAGTTAAAATCTGAATAAATAGAAACATTTGAACAATTATTGTTAAATGTTACTGTTGCATGCGGGTTTTCTTTTTGTTGGGTTGAAAATTTGGTGGTTAAAGAACTTTTTAAATGGATTAACCTAATGTTATGTTTGCCAAGTCGAAAATAGCTTAGTGGTCGAATTCTTGAAAGAACTACCAATAAAATTTCAGAAACCATTCTTAATGATGCTATTAATGATGATCTTGGTGTTATGTTAGCTTTTGACAGATGGAAGAATGTAGCATGTCAAAATTTATTAGGATCTGTTTTGTTTACTTTGGAAAATAATATGATTATCTGAAAAATTGAAGATATTAATGGAAAAAGATATACAGGTGATATTGTGATAGATGAAACCAAAAATCTTTTGAACAACTTGAACAGAAACAAATTAAAGTCAATGGATTAATCACAGATTCAGCTTCAGAAAATGCT